TGGTATTGACAACGATATCATTTTTATGATACTATGGTATGAGTATTCGTGAGTCGGTTTCGTCTTCCGGCTAGCTCTCAGTCAATAATTTTCTACGATCGTATCGTAGCCATTGCGGCAGGACGGTCTCAGATAAGCATGTCGTGTTCTATGGGGTAGTGGTGGGGAAATGCATCTCAATTCCGGATTATATCAAATTGATTCCAGGGGGGACTTGAACGAGGCAGGCGTGTAATGAAAGGATCATTAATAACCCATCGAGGAGGAAGCCGAGTATAGCGAGACTTGGAGTCTTTGCATTCACTCGATCTCTGTCGGTATCGCTAGACTCCGTAGCCAGGTAAAAGAAATTCGCTCCCCATCATCGCAATACCCCAACCTGCGATTAAATAATGAAGCTCAGCGAATAACTAGTCTCCCCACATAATAACATCATGGGGATATATGAATAGCTCCAGTAGTGATACTCTACAAGAGATGTACCACCACAACTCAAGACAGTTGAAGACGACCAGGCACCAGTTGAGATCTATGGACCCTCCAAAGTAGTGAGGCCCAACCTCAGTGCTCCCGATAAGGGTACGACTGCTTAGGGGTACTTCCGTTAGGGAAGATTGCCTTCAACTGTAACACATTCTAGTAGAAGGTGTTTTTGGCGAGCAACGAAAATGGTGACAGGATGTCGGTGTGCTGATCAACATCGGTCACAATTCCATAAGTGTGTGAATGCAAAGCATAATCTTAGTTTCTTATTACATACCATGTTGTTCTACTACACTACAACGGTTTCACCCATAGCAAGCGAGTATATATATACGAATCTTGACAGTGAAAAATGGCGAGGACATCGGTGCGCGCCGAAGAATGCTTCCACTCGGCATACATATACCGTTCTACTGCAATTACTACGTTCTTCAAGAACGGTTCTTGGTCTGCGGTTGCCACTTGAGATACCACTACTCCTAGTTGAGATAGAGTATTGCATTTCGCCGACTAAAATCGATGAAATATCACAAAAAAATAATATTCTCCTAAAATTTTTTCACTCCCAGAACAGACTACTCGAAAAATTTCCGTACCCGGATATTTCCAAATGCCCACGCGAACACTATTAATAATTCTATTTTATCTCACTATAGTCGCACGTGAAATATTCAGTGAATAGTTCTTATACAGTTCTCGATAATATGATACGTAAAATCATCTCCACGTATGCAGTGCATCACCTGAGTTCCTCATAAGTCCTCCGATTTCACATTGTATGTGATTCTGTCCCAAAATGTGATGATGCAAATCCTGCATTCAGATAATTTGCTGTCAAAGATTACACTCTATAAAATCAGTCAGAAAAGATATTATATACTCTCAACACCTCGGCATTTTAGCAACGGCCCCCCCGACGGTGCCTCCTCAGCATCACAATCTCCCGAACTTTCAGTAGCAGTGTTCTCTTCTATGTGGAACACTCTTTACTAGTACACTATATACACTTAGATGAATCTCAACTCACCATCAACTGTCCTTCAACCGATCATACATAGTGTTGCCAGAATCGAATAGTCGTAACGCCTTGTAACGGTACCCTGCATGATGAACCGGTGTAGATGAGATTCCAGTCTTACAGGAAAACCCAGTGTGGGGGGATATGCACTCCTACCCGAATTCGTGTGTAAACTCTCCGGCGGAAGAAAGCGAAGACCTATGCCTCCAACACTGGCCTCACATATTTGCTCGATCATTTCCCCTACATACGATTCGTTCATACACATCCAACTTTTCACGCGCCACAAAATTAACCACTAAACCCAACACCAACCCACAATGAAGATGATACAGTGAAAATGTCGGGGGGCAACTACTCCACGGAAAAAGCTCTACGACAATAATAATGCAGTTGGGGGGGAAAATTCAATCCCATCATCATCATATCGATTCCGCCTCAGATTCCTTAGCCGAAGTAAACTCCACTCCTTCCGAATCTTCTCCCGGGTCCGCTTCCAATTCACGGCTTTCCGCTTCTTTTCCTCTCGTACCATCCTTCTCCGAACTCGTCTCGCCGCCCGATCGGACGTCTTCATCAGTCTTGACCTCTTTCGAGGAAACGGGCGAACCTTCGCCTACAGACGCTGGCGAATCTGAAAATGCTCGAATGTATACAATACCAGTCGTCTAGAGAGGAGGAATAGGTGTGCAAGCGTAACTTTGTCAACAAATGAGAGTTTCAAGTTAATTTCTTGAATTTCCTCCTCTCCAGACGACTGGTACTGTATATATAAAATGTATATAGATGTACACAATATATGCATATATATACAAAATGTATATACAGCTTCCTCGGCTTGGGAGTTTTCAACACTACACACAGCTTCTAGTAGAAGTGTACAAAAACCAAAACGAGTTCCAACACGAGTAGTTGCCCATGTGCATGTTATTTAGTGCAAAATGAGGGATTTGAACCGTCCACCTCGCCAATGACAACCCTGAACCCTACCCTGCTTAGCTGCAGCTACAGGTGGTGGTGGTGGAACTCCCGCATTCGCTCTCGCCAAAACCGCTGCCTTCAACTCCGCCACCTACAACAAAATAGAGACTCCGGGAAGATCCCTTCCTAGTTTTAATATCAAAGTAATAAACTCTTATATTTCCACAGCATTGAGGAGAAATACCCAATTTCCCCATCATTTTTTCATATTTTATTTTACCGCTTGTGCCGCCGCCTCCTTATTAGTTCTCTCATCGCGGACCCGTTTTGCCAAGACTGTGATCAACTCCGTCACTTGTTCCGTCACTTGCTCGACACTCTCCCTATCACCATTAAGACTAACCTGCTCCCCAGAAAAACAACACATGCCGGTATCGAACCCGCGACCTCTGCTACCATAGGCGCCGCATCTTCCACCGACACTCGCAGCAATCCGCCCCTACACCCTTTCCTCGCTGCAATATCACCGACTGCTGTATCGGGGTCACTCGTTAGACCAGAATTCGCCAACTCCTTCCACGTAACATCCGTGGCTGAAAAACGACCAGAAAAAGTACAAAAATTCCAGAAAATTTTCGATTTTCTGGGAAGATTTTTCCACCACATACAGCGCGCGGCGATTAGATATGTAAATGTGCGCTATTTCCCGAGATTAATAAGAATCGATCTGAAACTATATCGCATAAACAATGCTGGTAACCTTTCGAGACTATGATAGCGACAAGTTGTTCACTATCATTAATCCCAAAATAAAATACACAAATTCTTCACGTTGGCATCAGGTAAGAATTTCAATCTTCTCAGGTAGGAATTCCCGAGAAGCAAGAATGATCAACCTTCCCCGGAACAATGGCCGCCATTATTCTTCCCTTTTCATCCAGTGCTGCACTACGACTCCCCTACGTCAAACTGCCGCACATTTCTGCTCGTGTTTAGTATTTTCGATTTCATGTTAGGTTATAGTGAAACCGTCGATCATAAACAACAACAACAACAACCCGGAAAAACATATTCCCACACTTTCGACCTGGTCATAATATTCAAACCCTGAAACAGCTCAATACGATAGCGCATCCTCCATCAACCCAAAGACCCCAGGATCAATTCCCGCCTACTCCCCACCTTGTAACAAGCCTTCAATATAGAGCCTCCTATTCACACTAACGGACCGATAGCTCTTCATCTGCTCCCTTCCTTCAGCCGTACGTAATACCGTACACAATACACCATCAAAAAGATTCCTTCCAAACGCAGTACGAATGTGCTGATATACAAAATCAACTCGAAAAAAGATTCTTCTCATGCCCCACCTTAGCATCAGAGTTAGTCTTAGGCACCAAGCCGACACCATTAATCGCCAGAATAGTATCTCCCTCATACAGATGTTGCTGACCAGGAAACGGGCTGATATATAATACCAAATACCCTCGAGAGGTTGACTAAAATAAAAATGCGCTCTCCGAGATTCGAACCCACGACCTCAACAAACCTGCAAGTCCAATCCACACACAAGTTCACTTGGCCGCCCGGGACCTGATACTATGCCGTTGAGGAAATGCAAGATAGCAAGATTTGCCAAGATTACTCTCCTCAGGAATGACAGCCTTCTTATCGTATTTGGTAACTTCCGACCGCGGCACAACCCGTAACGGCACCTATTTCGTGGCGAGTGAAAAAAAACAACAAAGTTTTCTCGATAAGTTTCGCAAATTTCGCGGAAAAATTTAGCGACACCTTCCAGAGAAATAAATTTTACTCCAAAAAGTTCCGCATTAACATTTGAGCACCCTCATCCGCGATATCAATAACACAGTTCACATTCATGAGGTTTTTCGATCCCAAAATTTTCCTGCGCGCCACGAAATAATTTTTTCCATTACCAACTCACATTGATAATCCTATTCGCAATCGAGTTAGAACCTCCAGAAAAGGTCTGCTGAGAATTCTAAAATAGAATTAAAATGCCCTCCCAGGATTCGAACCCACGACCATCCTCACCTGATCACCCTTCCTTAACGAGTTGAACAAATTCTGTTCCATTTCCGCGACCGTCATTCGTTGCTCCTTCACCCCTCCTCCGTCATTCCCATACGTCTCCATCGTTTGCTGCTGCTGCTGCTGCCCAGTCGGCACTAAAAATCCCCATTCAAAATTTTCTCGCGCGCCACAAAAATAATATTGAAAAAATATATGTAATCGCTTTCCTCGGCAGTTTCCTCACTAATTATACAAGTTTACATATGAATTCGAATAGAAGTGCTCCGAAACCAATAAGAATTTCCCCTCGGAATTTCCAAATCGCCACCGGTACATGTGCATATCGCCTCCACTGTCGTCCACAATGGAAGTTGCTGAAATACGAAGTGGGAAATTGCACTCGAAAAAATTGCCGAAAATTTACATATTTTCCCGCGCGCCCCCAAATTATTACGATTCTGCGGTTGAGTGGCCTCCGCCGCCTTGTGCTCATCGAGGAACCTCCTCAAAGTGCCCAACAGATCCGCAACCGTTGGCTCGCTGTGCTCCTCCCCTACTACCACCATGCTAATAGCGCGCGCCCAGATGATCGATATTATTATTACTACCTCCATCGCCTTGAACCGCTTGTTGTTGTTGCTGTTGTTGCCTAGCTAGTCCAGTGGCATGCTGCTGCTGCTGAGCCTTTGCTTGATTTCTATTAACCGATTCTTGCAGTGCAGAGAGCTGCTCCACCAGTGCGCGCTGAAGTACCCACCCACGTTCGCTCACCAGTAGGGGAATATTCGAATTGCGCAAAATTGAAATATATTTTCATATCGCGAGTGGAAATTCGTTCGACAAGAAAAATCTACGAGATTCAACTGAGTACTGTGGGAAAACTCCGAGTCAAAACACAGGTTTCTGTGGAGCAGCAAAAATATATTTATAATTTTCCCAATAGTAATATAAAAATAAATTTTCCCATTAGAAAAGTTCATCAAAATACTACAACTTTACATATAAATTCGAGTAGAAGTGTACAGAAGCCATTTAGAATTTTCTCATAATTTCCCCCATCATCATCACCATCAACACCGCATTATCCTTCTTCTGCTGCTGTTGTTGTCCGTCCACCTTTCCTCGCCTCTCGTTAGCCTCTAGACGTGCTATCAACGACTGCACTTCGACGACAGCTCTACTAGATTTAGTAGGGACGGGTGTAAGGGAGCTTCCCCCATGCATTTTCAACCCAGCAAACGGATCACCACTCCGAGCTGCTGAAGTTAGGCTAGGACCACCACCAGAAGAGGAGGAGGAGGTGTACTTCAAATCGGCAAGTCGCGTTTGACCCGAACGATTTCTGAGAAGTGACGTGCCCGGGGGTTTGCAAAGCTTCCGATCTTATTACAGTTGTGATTGTGCAAGAGCAGCAACGTCATTCGGGGAGAATCTCGGCCGACCAATGGGCGTATTCATCGGCCCACCAACCGTCCCAGCCGACTCAAAAGAACTCCCAAATGGTGGCGCGGTATGCGGGTCTGCCATCAACCCCAAGGTCCCCGGTTCCATACCACCCTCCTCCCCTCTACCCGCAGAGTTAACTTTATTCTCATTCGCCTCCTTAAACGCCGCCATAAGATCATCCCCAAGCCTATTAGCATCATCAGCATTCCCATACAACCTACAAAAAGGCGGAGCGAAGCGATTCACCAAGTACATTTTCATCCTCTCAAAGTGTGACTGATTTACACATAACAAACTGCCGAGCATATACTGTCACTTCGCGTATTGTCTATAATCGTTCGTAGATTCAAATTATTTCTCGACAACCACGACACCAGTTGAGCTCTCGAGACACTCCTCGAATGTCTCCTCTAAATTTTCCTAAATGTAATTTCTTCAACCTTTTCAACACACGAAAGCGGCTCATAAAAACGCACAAAAATTCCCTCTCAAAAAATGAAAATTTCCTACCAATCAAAAACGGTAATTTCAAAATGGATTCATCCACCGTCACGCGCCACAAAATTCCCCTACTACTTGGACCGGGACCCCTGCAGTTTCCGTAGTTCTTGCGATACCTTTTCTGGTGCGTCTGAACCACAGTGCAGAGTTTTATAATATATTTTCGCGAGAAATTCATATACGAATTCGGGTAGAAATGTACAGGAATCAACAATAATTTTCATATAGTCACCAACCACGGTACGATACAAAAACCTATAACATTCCCGAAGGGGAAATTTTCCACGTATGCATAGGAACACATTCTCCGAACAGTTTCTAATGTAAATATCATCACATTAGGAACATCTTCCCAATCGAACTCTGGAGAGCGTCATCCCTCAAGACTAAACAGTGTTGTAATATATGTAATCGCTTTCTTCAGCTGACCCTAGGAGTTTTCTCAATCATTATAGGAGTCCCTATACAAGCTTGGGTAGAAATGTACAGAAACCAACAAAAATTTTGCTAAATTTACTAAAAAATTCCATATTGTCACCAACACATGTAGTTGACCATATGCATATTTTCCCTTCACACTGTGATTGAATATTTCCGAACTCACCGTCTCCCGATGTAGTAATTTGTCGGAATGATTGCAACAACGCGGAAGCATCTGAAATGAAAAAATAAAAAAACGCCAAAAAATAATGAGGTTTCCACCATAATTTGGCATTCATGGAAATTTGCTGGGAAATTCACAAAATTTTCGGCATTAAACTTTCCTGTCTTACTAATTCTAGGAGCACTGCGGGAATATATGTAATCGCTTTCCTCATCAGCTGAGCTCAGGAGTTTCCTATACAGTGTTGGAGTATGAATATATGTTCGCTTTCCTCACCAGCTGAGCTCAGGAGTTTCCTATACAGTGTTGGAGTATGAATATATGTTCGCTTTCCTCAGCTGATCTCAGAAAGTTCCAAAGAAAGAATCATACACGAATTCAGATAGAAGTGTACAATGAGAATTTCCTCTTTAATTTTCATTCTGTCACCAACACATGTAGTTTGCAAATTTTTCCCATACCGCTGTTTCTGTATCTACTGAACCACTCGCAAAACCAATATAATGAAGTTTCACACATTTTATGTAAAGTGGCGTCGTAATACTCTGTGAAAAACTAGGCGATATTCGCGATGATATGCAGTAGTCGTGAAATATATTTTTCACTAGTTTTTTTCATACTCCCCCCCGTATCACCATCTGTTCCCTTTCTGTCCATCCTCTGTGGGAAGATCTCAATAATTCTATTTCCTCGAAACATCCCCGCGTTCTCAATCATGTTCATACGTACCTGTAAAATTCCTCCGCAAAATCTGAAAATTTTAGCGAATTTTTTTTCTTACATCCAATTTCCTCAAATCTGGTAGAGCTCTCGTGAGCATCTCAACACCACCAGCAGTCAAATAATTATACGACAGATCAATCTGCAGAGCACCCGACTCTCATCCCGAAGGTCCCTAGATCGAATCCCACGCCCTACTACCTCTTTAACCGCCGTAAATATATCGTCATTCGAATTCTCTCCAACTTCCCGCGACAGCCATTTCGTGAATTCATCAGTTAAATTATTTCCCGAAATCATCAAAGAGCTCAGCCGAGCTTTCGAGTGGCCAATCAAACCCTCCAAAATCTCAATTATCCTGGAAAAAATGCCCTCACCGGGGATCGAACCAGGGACCTTTAGCTTACCCACGATTTCCCAAATTCGACCTCGGTAAATTCACATGAACGTGTACGTACATATCCTTCTTCGATTCCAATAATTCCTTTAACTCCTCCCTGGCTTTACTTGGATTTATTTTATCTAAAAACGCCCTCACCAGGGACCGAACCGAGGACCTACTACTACCACCACCCTTCGCAGCCGACAACGTCGCTACTCTTCCTTCAACGACAATATACTCGAATTCACTCGATGGTTTACCTGCTCGAAGAAATGCATGGAAAAAATATCAGCAACCCGTTTAACGTGAAGTGGCGTCGTAATACTCTGTGAAAAACTAGGCGATATTCGCGATGATATGCAGTAGTCATGAAATATGTTTTACATATCACTAGGGTGGTGAAACTCCAATAAAATCAATTTTCATATCACTAGGGTGGTGAAATTACAATAATATAATAATTCCATCAATAGTAATCTCCCTGATTTATTACTCATGAGTTTATCTCGTAACAGAGCCTGTAAGGAGGCTACAGCTTGCTCTCGAGCTTCCTCACTGCCGTAAACTAAAGAGGATTCAAGTTGGACCTATTCCGTATCTAACGTACTCACGCCTAAGATTCCTTCAAAATTCCCTCGTGAATGAGAGAATTATAAACTTATTATTTTTCCTATTTCGTATCTTAAAAACGCCGCAAAATTTTCCTCTGAGCTGAAATAATTATTTCTAAATCGACGATTTTCCGCAAAATTCTGAAAATTTTGCCAAAAAATCTATGCCATATTACTTTTCGATATTGGTGGTTGTGGCAATAACCCCGAGTCAACAGAATGGTTATGTTCCTGACATACTTTGAATCTTACTCGCAGCAACCTAAGATACCCTACCTCGCTGCCATCCGATTGACCAGACTCGTTGCGAGTGGACATAATAAAAATCCTCAAAGAAAATATATATTAATCCGATACCACACTTCGGAAAAAATTATAAAATATGAGTAAAAATTCTATTTTTCGCAAAGAAATTGTTGAAGTATAAGTGTAAATAAAATTGAAATATAGAGAAAATTCATCATGTCGATCGTATACTTCCCGCCCTGAGAAATATACTAATAATTGGAAGTCTAAGTCATGGCATATCTAAGGTACCCGCTAGCAAGATACAAATAAGGTACCCACTAACAAGATACAAATAAGGTACCCACTAACAAGATACGAATAAGGTACCCACTAGCAAGATACAAATAAGGTACCCACTAGCAAGATACAAATAAGGTACCCACTAGCAAGATACAAATAAGGTACCCACTAGCAAGATACAAATAAGGTACCCACTAACAAGATAGAACAAGATACAAATACGGGTGATGTGAACGGCGGGAAAGCGAAGCGAACCATTATCCGTGCACTTCATTTTTATCGGCGCACTTTGATATCGCGCGCGCCCAGTATCATCTGATATCGTACAGTTTCAGATCCTCGTTACGGATTGAAACTGTCAGGGCGAAAGCCTGAATTAGACTTTCAGAGTTAGAATTGACTCGAGACTCAGTTGTAGTTCAACTGGACTTGAATAGATCTGACCTGTTCTGATTTGGTTATCTTTGTAGCATCGTATAGCTACATCGTATCTGCAATAATCGTATTACATCTAACAAGTTATCTATTGTCGCGCTGAGCATCTAGTATGGTGGGAACTAGACATTCGAACAAGTCTGGAGTCCAGACTCTGGACTAGTATCTTTAGGAGATCGCGGTGAGATTGTTTCTCAGGATCCTCGTAGGCATCCATCAGATCCATCCGGATCATCATCCGCCTTCGTATCTCCGCTACACCTACAAAACCAATCGGTTCAAGGCAACGACGCTAACCCACAAGGTTCCTCTCCTTCTAGTCGTCCCACTACTCGACGCTCACAGTGACCTTCAGTCGGGCGAGCGCGACTTTACTCAGAGTAGCGCGCGCCTTTAGGGCGCTGCCCTAGAAAGGTTAATCACATCTTGGTTTCCAGAGTGCTCCCAGGATGAAGATTCGCAATTGTCAGATTGAATTCTGCGAGATCTATTGAAGACGTTGAATGATTCTTGGGTATGGTAATCTTCCAAGAATGAGGAAACGGTTTTAGTGGTGTCCTGTTCACTTGAGGAACGCAACGACAACTTTCAAGTACTCAACGGCCACCTCGCTTTGACCACTACGAAGACGAACTGAAGAGCGTCTTGCCAGTGATCACTAACAAAAGGGAAAAATGAATGAAAAAGTGTTATATCATCAACCCAGTCGTTGTTGATCTCAGAGAGCACCAACCACAACTATCCTATGACGACTGCATTCGGGGACACTTTTGAAATGAACTCGCCTGAGCCCACATCACTGCGATGGACAACATGTGACATAACCGACTACTATGCCGTTGGTATGAATGAGAGTGACGAGATGAATCTCTACGAAACGAAAAGATTTTGGGCGATTTTTACGCCGGGGGTTCCAGAATAATGTATCTCCCACGCTGCTGATTGGCTACCATGAAGTCCCCGAAATAGTATAAGTGATGATACCCTCTCTTGTATAGGGGATATCCGCAGGTATCATTAATCCGAGCATTGAGTCCTTGATAGATATTGCTGCCTTGTCTAGTCAAGAACATGAAAGGGGAGGGACCTGCTCTTCTGTAGGGTAACAAGACCCAAGTAGAGTAATATGGATCGCGGGAAAGTGCCAGACAGGTAATCGTCAAATTCACATCAGTCGAATGATCTACTCCAAGAGTGGCAATGTAGTTACCGAAGTCGTGCTGAAACTCTTTGCGATCGGCGTACACACCAAAGAGTAGAGACAGCAGAATGAAGACTCTGACCATAGCTACTGGAAACACGTAAGGTGAGGGAGCACTGACAACATTCGAGAAGCGTTCGTAGTATTGTGATCGTTCTCACGAAGTTAGGAGATCTAACTCAAAATACTAGCTTGCGTGACCGATCGGTTGACACGTTATGCGTTTGCGTGCAAGTGATCGTCACGAGATCATCAAGTGATCACTTAGTGATGGTAAGCAATGGAGAAAGGAATTCTTATTAACCTTCTTATCGTATCCGTTCCAGCCTAAGGGCTGCAGGCCGGTTCATACAACGAGTAATGAGCGAGTGAGATTCGTACATACCTGCGCGAACACGAATCAAGACTGCGCGATGTGTTGTACCCGTGAAAATAAGGTGGAGGAGTTTCACTTTCTGCAGTGTGACCCAAAGCATGGTGTTGGAGGCATCCTCCTCTATCGTGCTATCCCTGAATGACGTATCGAACTGATAAGGGTACGATACAGGAGAGGGGAGACATGATAAGGGTTATGAACCAGTCTCGAGAGGAGACGAGAGACTGGAACGCACAACTGGGGAGACGCCCCGCTCCCCTGTTCGCGCGCGTATGCACGAGTGTCGCTCGCCCATTATTCGTTGCATGAAACGGCTCGCAGCCCTCAGGCTGAATTTCAGCCGCTGAAATGGATAAGATAAGAAGAATTATTACCTATTATGGCTATCCCAAGTATTGTTGAGTCAACCAGTGCGGGTATTACTACTAACATCCCCTCGGCGCGTGACGTCACCATAACGTGCCGTCACAGTTGCAGCACACGATGCATGAACGTTAGCTGTCCGCGCACGCCCACTGCACATGCGCCAGCTACACATGGTTTTTAGATAACTCAAGTGAACTTGGTCCTATGGTTAGCCTGTACCCCTATATATCCATCGACACCATGCAGTTGCAGAGGAGTCTGACCATACTCAATATGGTGCTCTGCGCGCATTCATGTGCTTACGTGACGCCTAAATGAGGCTCAGGAGAACCTTCCCTCTACTTTCGAGTCACTCACTAAGGTCTATCGGACTATCTCAATCGAGGGTGTAACACCCTACGAGGGTGACCCTAGGAAACACCGAAACACCTGGGTGTTGATGTAGCGTATTATCGTCCATACTGCACCAATTGAGAATTACGCCTACGACTCGTAGGCTATGACTCGCAGGCTACAACTCGTAGGCGTCACTCGCCGTTGCAGGACTCAGTGTACTTCAGCCGAGTTCCGCTCGTTAGACGGCAGCACTGTTAGGACAATCGTAGGGTTCGTCAAGGCCGCGTGCCGTCTATTGGAAGAGGCGGACAGTCTCAGAAGGGAGTCCCCGACGGGCCGCCGACCCGGGGTCGGGATCCCCGACTCGGGAAGCAGTTCGAAACGGACTTTCAAGGCTCCGTAAATGCCCAAGTATCTGATGGAAGCCCTCCACGAATAACAGCTAACGAGTGGGTCAAATCATACGCTGTATGTTATGTAGTTCGTATTACCGTCCTTGTACTAGAATCACAACAGGAGCCGATGGAGGGAGTTATAACTTTGTACTTGCGTACAGACTATGAAGATATATCGATCACGCTATACGAAATAAGCGCTCCTCCTCCTAATCGATACTCCTTATATCAAAAGAGATGAGCTGGTACAATCCAGCAACATTGTGGCACACGCAGTTGCCTACACAACGGAGCATACGCTAGAACATACGCCCCCCTTGCCACAATGGGTTCAAAAGTATATCGATGGTAAAAGAGAAAAAAAACGACCGAGATAACATGAGACGGCCTTAGACTGATCTAGTAACCCTGCGTAGTGCCCTTCGCAGGTCCATTATATCCAGCTCGTCGGGCTGGCAAAGGGATAATCGTGATACATGTAACACTCGAGTATCACCGTTACTAATCACCTTGACCTTCCACATTTATTTTCCCCCCACAGGCTGGTAAATGCGTCAAAAAAAACTTCACTACACTCTCTGTTTCCTGCCGTCTTAGCACGTACTTCCCTTCCAACCATGTCTGGAGTTGGTAGTAGAACCCGAACTAAGCGGGCTCCGAGCCCGCTCCCAGCGGCAATCAAACCAAGGGCGACCAACGTTATCATCCGAGAACCGTCTCTCTCAACGAGTTCGCGGAGTTCCGGGATCACATGGGCGACTCCCTTAAGGGGCTGACTGACGCTATAGCGTCTATCACATCGCAGCTGAATGGGTTGCAGCAGAATGGGACGGCGCCAGTGGTTGTCGCGGCCAGGCGAGACTCCCAGAGTCCGCTCTTGCCGAACCATGCTCGCTCAGAGCGAGACCATCAGACTACATCGCCTCCGGCAAGACCAGGAGCAACGACACTCTGTCAGTCACC